AGAGCGGCTGGTTAGCTGAGTGAAAATAATTTTTTTAAGTTCATCGCAGTTGTCAAGTTTGCAAAATGGCTAAAATAACTTAGTTTGCGGTACTTACATATTGCAGTTCATTATTGCAAACCTGAATCAATGTTTGGTTTGAAGTCGTGTAGGAATTTAAATAAAATTGATACAATGGCTGAAAGACGTTGTTTCCCTTGGTTGGCGTGTATTTAAAAATTTCAATCTAAAAAAAATTTGAATTTAGAAACTTACGATACTTGTTGCTATGCAAAGTGACAGTGACTTTTGATCGATGTAAGAGCTTATTTTGGGCCAAACAAACTGTTCAATTATTTCAAAATGCGGTGATAAATAGAAAAAACAGATTTTTATTAAGCTGGCGATTATTTTGTCGTCTTGGGAGTCGAAGTGTCGGTAAAGCAACGGAAAAAACACGCCTTTAAAGAGTAAGTTTGAGCAAGGGTAAGTTTCAAAGTCTTCAAGTGCCTTGATAATTTTGATGCTAGTGTGTTCTTGACTGATGTCGTTTTTGATTTGCCACAAGTGCAAATCGATGTTGACTAAGTATTCATACTGTTCGATGACGGAAAAAGCCTGTGAAATGTTGTTCAACAGCAAATTTTCTATAATCAGCTTAAACTCCGAAGGAATGTTTACTAGTGCGTAGAAGGATTCAACGTCTAGAGTGTAAAAACCCATGGATTGGCTTTTTTTTCTGAACGGCGCTGGCCAGTCCGGAGCGGGTAGATCTGATTTTAGCAAATAAATATACAAGATAATAAACACAACCGAAATGTAGTCGTTTTTCGGGTTGACTGCGGAAGAATCGATCTTTGGGTCTACAAATCTGAAATCGCGAGACACTAGTATTTCTGTGTCATCACATTTGTAATAACTTGATGTTTTATTGTGTGAATGGCAGAAGTTTGAACCTATAGATGTCGCGAATTTGAAACCGCCGAGCAGCCAATTTCCATTAGGATCGATATATATGGAAGCAGGGTTTATATTCGTGTGTACAAGTTGCAGTTTGTCGTGCAGAAAACTAACAGCGTTCAGCAGACAGTAAATTCCTTTTATCACATCCAAGTGCTTTAGAAGGCTGATGTGAGTTTCCACAGTGCCCAGTACTCCGGTTGTTAGAAAAAACCACTTGTTTTTCTCCTGGGTTAAATTACTTTTTACAGAAAGAATATACGGATGTCGAAGCTTTAAAAGCGTTTTAACGTCGTGGGCTATCAGGTTAGCGAGTTTTCTACCAAACGAAATCTCGCTGGAAATGGGCTGAACTGAAAACTCGCTGATATATTCGTTGCTGACAACTTTAGAGCATAAGTGGTAACCGTTATTTTTACCCAAATAAACACTGGTTTCAACACAATTTAATCTGTTTAAGTCCAATCCACTGCCAGAACCCAATATTTTTTTTGTAATGGAGTTATTTGCGCATTTTGTTATTGTTTCGCGTATATAGTTTGAAACTAGATTACATGTATCCATAAAAATATTCGCTTAAAAAGAAAAAACACAAAAATATTAATTATATCTTGTTGTTGGGCATTAAAACTGGTAAGGTGCAAATTACACCTAAGATATGAACCTGAGTAGCATTACACCGCTGGGATTATCGAAGTACCATCTGTTAGGTTTTTACTTATTAACCATTGCTTTAAGTGCTAACATACTTGGGCTCCCAGACCTTACGCGGAGAATTATTTTGAAAACCTCATTTCCTACAACCAAGCTTACTCATGTAGACAAAATTTCGTCGACGCATTACTATTGTAATTTTGCTTTCTATGGCACGGCGTTCGCGAATCTCGTGTTGGAGTATGTTTATTTTTTCGAACATCCAAAAATAAATTTTATTTTTTTGGGTGTGAGCGTGATAATAGGGTTAACGCTGTTTACGATTAAACCTCTTACTTCCCCCGTCTTATATTTAGCTGTGATCTTCCTCAGTACGTCATCGTTTTTCGTGTTTAGGTCATTTTTATCTATTCAAGAACTGTGGCCCTCGCATACAGAAGTAATTAATGATATTATTGGTGCTGCAACTGAAATCTCTATTTTGGTTCCGTATCTGTGGCTCATCTCTATGAAATATTTAAGTCGTTCAAACAACATTTCTTACATCATTTCGACGTATACCATAATTTACGCCGGATACATGGTGTTCCAAGTTTTCCTTGTGCCGAACGACCACTTCGACAATTACATTACTCCAGAGCTACGAAACGAAATTGACAAAGAACCCGTTTTAGAGGTTGTGTTGATTAACTACATTTGCAGGAGATCCATAATTAAAAAGTTTTCAGATAAAACGTCCTTGCTGATGTTTGACAATGTCACCCTGCTGGACAACCATTCGATTGTTGAAAAATTTATCGATCCCCTTTATTGGCTGATGTGCTTGACAATGGCAATCGTGATTTTTACAAAATTCCATATCGCGTTGACTTTTAGGCTGACGTTAGATTATCTAGCAGGAAACTCGATATTTTATCAAAAAGTCATTAATTTCCTGAGTGAACTCCTGAACATTTTCCTCGGTTTTTCCTTCTTTCCTACTTTAATTTTGACTCACGTAGCAGAGCGAACTTCATGTTGTTTACTGACTTTTATCTGCAGCATTTCCACTACGCTCGCAATGCTCTGCTATAGTATCCCTCTTATAATACCGCAAATATTTACAATTATTTTTATTTGGTTGTCTTCTACGCTAATCTATAACTACCTGTTCATAGCAACTCAAGATTACTTTGGTGGATCGTTCGTAGCCATATCTCAATTAATATCTGGTACACTCTCATCCATATTCGGAATTATGTATCCTTCCATCATGACTTTTTTCAATGAGCCTTTCATTTCGAGACTCTCTCCTGATGGCCAGTTGGTAATGTGGCCAACCATCAAAATATTTTCAATACAGATCCATACTATGTATATCGTTAACATTTGTTTTACTATTATGGCATCGTTCACAATTCTAGTTGCCTATTATGAATACTCTTTGATTGTGACAAAAAAAAAGAAACTTTTAGATGAACATTCACAAAGTCTTGTTAAATCTAAAAGTTTCGCCATTCCCATCGCTCATAATGAATAATATTGACTAAAGTTTTAAGGATCATTAATTACTAATGTCTCATTTGTCTTTAGCTCATATGCTGATAATGTAGAAATTCTTGAATTTAACAAAGCAGTCTTCGTTTAAAAAACTTCTCTGGTGTGATGAGTGATTGTTTTCAAAATCATCAGTAATCATATTTCTACTTCTTATTCTTAGCATGTTATTATTTCTTTTCACTCTTATTCTTATTCTTACATGCATACTTTGAGAAAAAATTAATTTATTCCTATAATTCATGTGCACTATTCCTCTATGGTTTATAACTTGCTATGTAGTTGATTCTTTAACATCTAATAATAGAGCCAAATATGTAAGTTAGCTAATATAATTATTGCAGTCTTGTTTATTTTTGAATTCGAAAGACAGTTCATACTTAATTACTGACGAAGAACTTTTGCCGTGGTTTTCAGTTTCTGAACTAAAACCTGATGTTGTCAAATATCTTGCGTTGAATTCGCCATTAGAAAATCATCTAGAAAAATGAACCCAATACTCGTTGCGTCTATCTATCAAGAATCCATCCATTCAATACTTTTCAGGAAAACTTATTTGGAGTTTTGAATTTGTCAGATTTTATTGTTGATTTTTGGAAAATCGTTCATAAATATCTCAGTTTGCATTTGATTAATAGCTATTGTGATAAATGCCTAAATATTCTCTCCTACTGATCAGAAATTAAATCTCAAAATAATTTTGCCAAACAATTTAATGGTAAATTTTAATTTCATTGGTTTTCTAAACTACGCTTTATTTTGAATCGATCTTGAATTAAATATTTAAACGTATTATTATATTTAAAGCATAAAAATCCAATTTTTTTCAATCGAAATGGTCATATTTTTTATAGTGGTAATTTATTATGTTGTAACTACTAGAGTATTCTGTCAATTTCAGTTGTTCAATCGTTGTGTCTTAATACATTTTATATTCTAATTTAATAATAATTGTTCGAATAACTCATAAATTTTATAATCACCATATTTATTGACTAACAGAGTCGTACTAGCTAAAATTGCCTATGCAGTTTTTACTTTTTTTAACTCGTAAACGTAAACAACAGTCTTAAGATCATAGATCAAAATATTATCAAGCTTGTAATTTTAATGTTTCCTTGATTCTCTTAAACAACTAGGAAATTACTAAAAATCGCATTCAAAACAAAATTGAATATGTGACTTAAAATCTTACGAAAGAAATTGATTTGAAATAATTTTAGTTATCCATAGTTGTAATGTTATTCATAGATCAAAATTTTTTTTATGTTCAGTAATTTTAATTAGGTTTTTCATAATTATCATTTAGGATTTAGAACTAACATCATAAACTTAGTCAAACAAGATTCTACTATCCACACAGGTTATACCAATTAAATTTTCTCACTTCGTAGGTTAACTAGATTATCAATTATGAAATAAATAATAATATTTTTATAATCATTCTAAGGGTGATTAAAATGAAATTATTAATTTTATTTTTAAGAATAATTATGTGTAGAACAGTTTACTTAGATAATACTGGAGGAACTTTTTCAGCCGAGAAAAACTCTTCAACTCTGAAATCAAGATCAGATTACAAGCCTCCTGTGTACTTAATACCAAGATGTAGTTTTGTCTTCAATCTGGAAGCAGAAGTGACATTAGTTAGATCTAACCTGCAAATTGAAAGAAAATCTCATGAACCATGTGATTTGTTATTAGATGGAGACGCAATCAAACTGTTGCAGGTATCTATTGAAAATCGCCAATTGAATCAGGACGACTTCCAGATATTGGAAAATGGATCTTTGTTAATTAAAAAAGAAGCTATTCCCTCGGCGAATTTCACTTTGCAAATAGAAAACGAATGTTATCCAAGCATTAACACTATGCTCAGCGGATTATATACTTCTAAAAACTTGTTGTGCACTCAATGTGAATCGGTCGGGTTTCGCAGAATAACTTTTTTTATAGATCGTCCAGATAATCTGACGAAGATTACGTCCACTCTTATAGATAGTTCTAATTCGTATGAAGTAATGTTGTCAAACGGAAACATTGTTGAGCAGGGAACTAATAAAGAAGGCAAGAAGTTTGTTACGTACGACGATCCTAACCCCAAACCGTGTTACTTGTTTGCGATCATTGCTGGTCCTCTTAAATCTTTAAGTTTAGAGTATGAATATACAGAGGGCGTTGCTAAAGGCAAAAAAATTGACATCAAGATCTACTCTGAAGAAAAATATATGAAACAGCTCGAGTGGGGACTACAATGCGCCAAAAAAGCGTTTGATTGGGATTACAAATACATGCACAGAATCTATGATTTAGACCGTTTTGGTATCGTATGCATTGAGGATTTCAACGCTGGCGCTATGGAGAACAAAGGACTTACAACATACAACGTTTCATGTATTTTAGCTCATAAAGATTCTTCTACTGACGGAAGATTTAAGCACGTAAACTCCGTTATAGGACATGAGTATTTCCATAATTGGAGTGGTAATCGAGTTACTTTACGTGACTGGTTTGAAATAACTTTAAAAGAAGGTTTCACCAATTTACGAGAACAGCTTTTCAGCGAACATTGCTATAGCGAAACCGTAGAACGTATATCAGAGGTTAACTTCCTTAAGTCTTATCAGTTCCCTGAAGACTCTTCTCCACTAGCTCATTCAATACGCCCAGAGACTATTGAGTCAGTAGACAACCTGTATACGGTCACTGTTTACGAGAAAGGTGCTGAAGTCATTAGAATGATGAAAACCATATTGGGTGACGAGCTCTTTGTAAAAGGTACCGATCATTATTTTTCTAAATTCGATGGGAAAGCTGTAACTAGTGAAGACTTCAGGGAAGCTTTGAGCGAAGCTTCCGGTATAGACCTATCTCAGTTCCATGTATGGTACGAACAAAAAGGTACTCCAAGCTTAGAAGTAGTTAAAAATTACTACTGCAAAGAAAAAAACGCCTACATCATTGTTGTCAAGCAGATCGTACCTGAACAAGATAATGAGAAAAAGATGCCCTATCCAATTCCCATTAAATTTAATCTTGTAGGAATCGAGTCTAAAAAAGATCTAGTACCAAAAAGCGAAGAAATATTACTTCTGAAAGACTTTGAACAAGAATTTGTTATTAAAGGAATAAATGAAAACGGTGTGCTTTCGTTTTTGAGAGATTTTAGCGCCCCGGTATCCGTTAAAGATTTTCTGTCGAAAGAAGAAATTCTTCACCTTTTCAAGTATGATTCAAACTTATACCAAAAGTGGGAAGCTGTTCAACGTGTATTCCGTGATGAAATTATCAGAGCTTACAAATCCAAAGCTAAACAAGTCACATTAGAAGAAGACACTAAAAAATGTCTTGAATGTCTGGTCGACACAGTAGATGATTACGAATATCTTGCTATGGCTCTATCGCTTCCAACTGTGAGTGTCTTGCTTCAATACCTGTATGATGTTGACCCGATAGAACTTGACAAAACCTGCAAAGCTGTGTATAGAGCTTTTAAAAAAGTTTTACATTCGCGAATGGAATCATTATTTACAAAACTTTATGCAACTTGTAACTCTGCCGAATGGAACGCTGATAGGGAATCTGTCGCCAATCGTGCCATTATGAATAAAGCTCTCAACATCATCGCTTCGATTGATGAAATCGATGCCGATGAAAACCCAAACAAGATCAAACGGCTTATTGAGTACTTTGACAACGCCAATTGTTATAATAACAAGTTTGCCGCATTTACCATTGCTTGTACCTGGCCGCTAGAGATTCCAGAAAGAAAAATAATTATTGACAGAATGTATGAAATATGCAAGAATGACAGCGTCATGTTAGACGAATGGTTTGCGGTGCAACTATCTATTAGTAACCACCAAACCTGCCAAGTAAGCGAAGTTCTTATTAAACATTCCGACTTTATCGGAACAACTAATCCAAATCGATTCCGGGCTGTAGTGGGCGCAATGTCTAGAAACCATTACATTATCTACGGTGAGAAAAGCAATGGACTGAAAATAATTAGCGAGGAAATTGTCAAATTTGACAAAATTAACCCATATTCGACCGCGTCGGTTTGTAAGAACTTAACGCTATTTAACAATTTAAAAGAGGAGTTTCAAATGCGTATCAGACGTGTTCTTACTGAAATGCTCGAACAAACTTTATCCCCGGGTGTTCGAGAAATAGCAGCTTCGTGTCAAATCAAATTGTGAGAACGTGGGTATCGATCACAGTAAAACGTTATCATGTTGATTTATTTTTTCTTGTTAAGTAAACCAAAAATATAAACGTAATCAATGCCCATATGTAGCCTTCGTAAACATTTTTTAGTTTAGAAATATTATTTACAGCCTACCAGAAGTTTCAGCATAGTTAACTTACTCTTACATCTGAAAACACAAATTCGCTACCATCGCTAAGTTTGATCGTGCATGAATCGGTTCTGAGGTCCGAAGGGCTGCATTGCAAATAATCAATGTGTCTGTTTTCTCCAAAAAAATTTACCACGCTGGGAAAAAGTTCAAAAGCGTATTTTCCAATAGCACTTGTCTGTTGGTAGGGATATAAACTAAACTCTTTTGATAATACCCATTGCGTCAACTCCTTTGGTGGGATCATTTTTTTCGTCGCTATGTCTGAATCCTTCAAATGATAAAGCGTGTTTATACTCTTAGAATACTAAAAGATAATATTATTTGCAAGCACTTACCAATAATAACTCATTAGTCAAATTTCTATCTGCGAATTTTGTAAATGCGATTTGATCAAGTTCTGGGATCATTATTTTATGAGTTATAACGTGAAGCTGCGGTCGGTTTAATGGCATTAAAACTGTTTTTTGAATATACTGATCAAATAATTTGAATGAAAATGTACTTTTCTGCTGAACCGGAAAAGTAATGTCGAACGCGTCAGCCAGAGTCAGATAGCTCCATGCGCTGCCTGGCTCTTGTTGAAGTATTGCGATTTTGTTGTTTACCACTTTTATATCTTTTACTTTAAACGGAGATGTCATCGAGTAAACTGTTTTACCTGTCCGCGGACTGATCATAATAAAGTCGTTTGTTTTGGTAACAACAATCATAAAAACGTCAAGAGTAGAGGCTACGTAGAAATTGTTGTTAGGGTCAGTTAAAATCAAATTCGCTTGATGATTATCAGTATCAAGGCTTTTCTTTATAAAATAGTACGAATCTACGTTTTCTATGACGCGTGTCCAAGACACTCTTTTTGTTTGATCTACCAATCCCTCCAAATTAATTTTGATCGTGTCGTTGTTTTCTTCTACATAAACAGAATAAACTTCCATGTTAAAGTCGTGAGTTTCATAATCTTTGTCTTGAACTTCTTCATAATTCTTAATTAATTGATTTTTTTCAACGTCTCTAACCTGAATTAGTGTCATTTCGTATACCAGTTATTAAATAGTCAAATGGCAATTGTGTATAGCTTCAATCTAGACAAATATCGCGGATTCAATCTTAGTACTGCTAATTATTATAATTAGTTTATTTGGCAGCTTATTTTATTCAATATTATTTTTAAATTATCAGATTTTAATAAGCCTTAATATGGCAGATGAACGCCATATCGAAGTTATTTTACATGAGCTTGTTGACAGAACATGTGTAAAACTTATTAACGCAGTGGCTTTGTTGATATCATCTTTAACTGTACAGTCTCATTCTTCTGTCTACGTGTGTTGGTATAACAATAAAATTACTGCCAAGGTCCAAATGGGCATCATCAAAAACTGTCAACAACTATTTATGAGTCTTTCTGCAGATCTCGTGGTTTACCAAACGCTTTGTGATATTGATAAACGCCACGCTTACGCCCAGCAATTCTTGTCTAAATATTCATTTTTTTTAAAGGATTTGTTTTCTGATGTAAATTCGGAAGAAGATAAAATAGTCCAAGGATTGTCTAATTTTGACTTGTATAAAACGCTGGCCCAAATTAGCTTGAACAGATCCATTAATGCTTTGAGCAATGAACAAATTAAAAAATTAAAATTTTGTGTGTTAAATGCGAATCCGCTGATTTTTCCGGAAAATCAAACCTTTAACCCTTATTCATTAGTGTCAACTAATAATGCAAAAATTGATGTCTACAAAATTTCGACTCAAAAAGACGGCGAGTCAGAAAACCTTAAATGGCTTTGTAAAGATTCCGTAAACGAAAACGAAAGTGTAGATCTTGATGGTGATAATTATATCTATAACCGTATTTATTCTTTTCCATAGGAAGCATAGATTATTTTTATTTCTTGTCCATTTTATTAAGGCAAAACCTATTTCGAATTTTGCTTGGCGTTACCATGACGATTTTTTTTTTTTTTTTATTGTTGTATTTGGCTGGCACGGGAGGCGAACTACTACATGACGGTAGTTGTGAAAAGTTCGAAGAGCCAGCAAAATAACTTTCGTAAACTTGTTGCTTTTCTGGACATTCCTGTGGGAAATAATGCATCATATTGTCCTGTTCGACTGCTCTGGCGCTATTGGTGTATTGTTGATGTGGGAATGTGTGGAAATTATTATTAACGTCGTGGTTTTGATTGGAATTATGAGCTGGGTATGCTGTGTCAATATGACTGTTGTACGAATCATAATAATTCTGAGCTGCTATATAGTTGTAATTATCAAATATTGGAACTTGCTGATACTGAATAGTGTTTGGATAAACTGAACCGTATTTCTGATGTAGCATGTTCCACTGTGGTGTTTCCCCATAATGCGTAGTTGGCATGTGTGGAAACGTGGAAGACATAGAACCTTCCACTGCGTGCTCATTTTGTTTATTCATATATTCATAATTGTCGTTATTGTAATTTCGAAACTTATCTTTAGGATGGTTAATTAAATATGCGTTAGTCAATTGTCTTTTAAAACTTTCTTGATGATAAAGTGAATCGTTAAAATGTTTGCAGTTCGCGTTTGTTAACGATTTCTTAATTGTTGGCTGTCTCCTCTTAGCGCTCTTTTGTATAATGATATTATTAGTTGTGTGCAGCATGTCCCCGATTGACAAGTTAGCTTTATTTCCCTCTAAAACATGAAAATTCTGCTCATAAATATTATGAATGTTTCGCTTATCAGTGTGAGACTGAGGAACTCTTGTATGCTTGTCTATTTTCAAATTTTTTTTTAGTTGACTAACTAATTCCTCAGGATTTGTTCTGTACAAATTGATTAGTTCGGCGAGTTCTAACAGGAAATCAGAAACTGGAGGTTCGAAGATTACTTTCTTGCTTAAGAAAGTTTCTGCCAAAATGGGTGAAGTGAATTGTACAGCTAATAAGCAAAAATGTTTCAAGTAATTTTGAAATTCGGACATTCGTAAACACGGATTTTCAGCCTCTTGCAATTTTTTCATTGCTTCATTATCGATTTGTGTTTTGATACAGATAAAAATATCAGCGGATACTAAATCAATAAACTCTAGCGAATCCGTAAATAGTCCATTTAAATTTTTATGTTCGAGACTAACTGCTGCGGAACATTGAATTTTTTCCCAGTCGTTGTGCAAAATAGGCTGCAAAATAACGAATATGTCTCTTGAATAAGCATTTTCTTTCATCAATAACCTAATACTTTTTGATTTTGAACTAGAAGCTTTCGTGCTAGATTTAATATTAAAATGGTTCAGTAGTTCATTTGACAACGTTAATCCTGATTCTAATAAAGAGTTGAAAAAGTTTTGCGTTATTTTTTTTTTAAAATCGCTTTTTAATCTGGAGGTTGTGGAATCGCATATTTCGCCATCTTCGGTGTTCAGATTAATGTGCTTTTCCAAACAATCAAGTATTTCAACAATATCATTCCACATAGGTGGACTCGTCAATTTTTCTGCGTAAGACAATAATCGACCTTCGATGTTTTTACGTGAAATGATTTTTTTGCTGTTTCCTGTTGTTGACTCAATTTTAAAAACATTGTCAAGTTTTCTAACAAATTTATATGCTGAAACGGACTGATTGAGAATTTGAATGTAATTTTTTGGTAGGAAACCAATTTCCAAGTTACTGCTGAATCTGATACTCGTGCTCGAATGATTTGTTGGAATAAAAGTTTTAATTTTCAACGAATTTCTTGTTTGGTGCGCCAAACTTTCCATAGCTTCTTCTTCTCCATGAATAAGAAAAAGATGTCGAGGGTTGATTTCACGGATGTAGTTCAATAGATCATATTTGCCCGAGTGCGAAGGAAGCGGAAAGTATCTTTTTTTGCAATTTATTGTTATTAGCTTATCGTTTATGGGGGAACTTACTGTTTTGCTTCCCGACAAAATGGTATTAGCAATGCTTTTTCTCTGACAAGCACCGGTGAAAATGATCATGTTTTTTGAAGATCCACACCATTCTTCAAACGCACGCCAACTGGGTCCTCCGTTCATAATAGCTGGAGAAGCGATTAAAATACAAGACTCGCTATTCAACCAAAAATCTGAATCGAGATTGGTAGTCTGTACTATGTTTAGTTGCTTAAAAAAAGAGATCCTGGCATCAGAAACTCTAGAATCAATTCTACCAGAATTCTTGTAGATGGTGTTGTCTTGCAACAAACTAAAAAGAGCTTGACCTTGAGCTGCAATATAGCCTGCAATGTAAATAGGATAGTTAATGTTATGTAGAGAAAAAAACTCTGCAAAAATTGCGATAATTTCTTGAAGTTTCCCTATTGATACAGACGGAATTAACACCTTAGACCCTGTGACGCTCAGGGTTTCTAGCGCGGCAGATGCTATACCTTTAGCAGAACTACGCATCGAATGTTTGTGCAAATTTCCATATGTACTTTCACATATTAAAATGTCTGTTTGTTGGTATTCCAAACGTGAGATTGTTGATAACGGCTTGGTAATCATTCCATAATTCAAATTTATGTCGCCTGTGTACTTTATTACTAGATTTTGGTATTCTACTGAAAAAACGCTTGCGCCGACTGTGTGACCTGCACATTCCACATGAATTTCAACGGGAGTCGCAGATACTTCCCGTAAAATAGTTCGAGAGTTGTTGAACAAAGTCGATATTCTGCTAGCGTACACTTGTAACTCCTGATTAGAATAATTCACGGGAGGCTGTTTACAAGCGTCCGATATCAGTAATACAGACAGTTTTATCGTGGGGTAAGTCGCATACACAGGAATTTTTGTATTTAAACGAGAAAGCAAGTACGGCAGCGCGCCTGAATGGTCCAGATGATAG